TCAAGCAGCCAGCCCTCGAACACGGCTTGCCAGGATTGTCCCTGGAGGACTGAGTGAAAGCTCCAGGTCCAGCTCCGGACTGTGAGCTACTGTCCCTGGAGGACACAGCGAAAGCTCCAGCTCCGGGCTGGGGACGCTTTCAGTTGCCCCATCGTCCCGTGGTCCATCCCGTGCCGCCGTCGTCAAAGCATCCCACCCGCCCATCGCCGGGGCACCGTCGCCTCGCGGAAAGCTGGCCGCTTCATCCCGCCCGCCCATCACCGTGGCACCGCCGCCTCGCGGAGAGCTGGCCGCTTCCTCCCGATTTGTCGCCACCTCGCGGAAAGCTGGCTGCTTCCTCCCGATTCATCGGTGCGTCCCGCCCACCCATCGCCGTGGCACCGCCGCCTCGCAGAAAGCTGGCTGCTTCCTCCCGATTCGCCGCATCGCGCCCACCCGTCGCCCTCCTCCAATGCCGCTTCCAGTGGCGCCACCAGCTCCGCCTCCTCCAGCTGTCCAAGCGTTGCACGCGGCGGGTGAGCAAGCGCGAGGGGTGATCCCACAGCGATGGCCGCGCGCGATGCGGCGAGCGATCGGGACGGCTTTCCACGAGACGGCGGTGCCAGGAGCGCCAGCTGGTGGCGCCACTGGAAGCGGCATTGGAGGAGGAGCGCCAGCTGGTGGAAGAGCAGGAACAAGGGAGTGTGTCCTGGGATCGAACACATACTCAACAGTTTTCCTTGTGAGCGCCCATTCGGCAGGTTCATGAGCGAGGAGGATCTTGAGCGCTCCTCGCGTGGTCGTGTATGCCAATCCGGGGCGATGAGGTGAGTGTGGTCTTCCTACCAACATAGGCTTGAAGGAGCTTGCTTACTCCATTGCTTGCAGTCACAGGGCGATAGCCTCGTTTCAAGCAGAACGATAAGTGGAAGCCCGTCTGGGCTTCACTCGACGAGGACACTCCCGTGGGAGATCGCCGAGTGGTTAAACCAGAATCATCGCGTGGAGTTTGAGTCTTGCCAGCCGAGTACATCCAGAAGTTCTACTATATTGTGATGAAGAAGAAGAAGAAGAAGAAGAAGCAACGGCAGGAGCTCGCTGTGAGTAGTTTTTGTTTCCAATTTTTATTCTTCTTTTGCTTCATCAAGGCTTGGTTTGCATCACAGCGAGAAGAGAGAAGTGAAAACGTAAAACAGATGCTGACCTTTCTTACTCAGAAGAAACACCAAAGGTGTGCTCTCTCTCGCTCTCTCCTCCTTGCGTGTTTCTGTTCTTAGGTGGTTGTAGAACGAAGCATGCCAGGAGTAGCCGCATGGAGCAGTCCAAACCCGTATCGGACACTACTGGTGGGGAGCTCATCTTTCCTGTGTTGAATGGTTGATAGCCTTGTGCTTTCAGGAATCCTGGTGTTGACGACGAAGACAATCATCTCTGGACAATAAGAAGTCATGAAAAGGAGATACGAGCTGTATGTGACACTGTTTATGGGCTTGGTATTGACAGCTTTTGTGTAAACTTGCAGGCTTTGTCAGCTACAAGTGAAGCTGTGGGATCTCGGGGGACTAACGTCAAGTCTCAAGCTTACGAAGAGGTGAAAGTAAGTCCCGGAGAGCAAGTGCTTCCTCAGACTCGGTGACGAACGAGACACCCATGCCTCCATAGGTACTTAGCTCGGCGTTCACAGATTGTCTGTTGCAACGCTGTAAGCCGTTTTCTATCAAGGCTGTGGTCCTCGCTAATGTGAAATGCAAGCTACAGGTTTTAGACGGATTAGCGGCCATTGCAGAGGTTTTCTTTCTTATGACCAGCCACGTTGTTTTCGTCAGAACCAGGCCCCAGAGTGTAGAGGCACTCAGCAGTTGATGAATTTCATACCTAAATTTGAAAAAAAAAAAAAAGAGTCAATATATACAAGACAAAACGTAGTAAGATACAGTGTTTCACAGTGCTTTCAGCACATGAAACAACTAGAGACCCACCTATGAAGCATACTCCTGAAATGAATGCACCAAACCAAAAGAAATAAAGACAAGAAAGGATCACATCCATCACTACGTTTGCTGTTCGTGACGCACTTGGATCTTGCTTTTCTGGGCCGGTTTTGGTTGTTTGCAGGCCTTGTGGCAACAAGTAGTGATCAAGGCAATCGACAACTGCTTTTGTAGAGGAACGCTTGTACCAGAATTAATCTCACAGAACAGCTAACTATACTTTAATTTGAGTAGAAAATGCTGAAAGTGTAATGGTACTTTTTTTTTCCAGGGAAGATTTGCCTCCCATGGATGCTCTGGAGTTTAACAATAACCTACTGATATGCGGAAGTTACTTGTCGCAAAATGGCTCGGGTATTGTTCAGATCTGGGACGTGGATACACTCCTTGAGTGCTGAAGATTTCCAGCAAATGACATGGTAGTCAACATTGTTTTCCAATCTTGAGAGTTTCTGATTCGTGTTTTTTTTTTTTTGGACAGTCTATAACTGATGCAGCAGGAACAGTTGTTGTGACAGGTAGTTAACTCAGATATATGTCTAGCCTTTGCTAATGCATTCCTTTCAACAGGCGACGGGCTTATTTAAAATTTGGGGTCTGTGACCTATCTAGCAGCAAGGATTATGTAAATAGCTTGTTCTATAAAGAATCTATATAAATATTTTTTGTACATATGACTTCTTTTCTAATATTATAGTAACAATTAACTTCTTAAACTCAAATAAAACTTTACATTGTTTGTACTTGTTTTCCCAGCCTGTATAATAATGGCATATGCTAGGGACACATATTTTCATTCCTAAATTTTAATGGCTGAGATTAAATAATAGAATTTGGGATCATAAAATAAATTGAAAAGGTTAGGAGGAAGTGTAACACAAGAGAGCATTCAATGTGTGCGTGTGTGTGGTGCCATTTTTACCTATGGTTTATTATATGGAGTGCCATTTCATTATTTTATATTCTAGCTTTCTCACAAACCCAAAGAGAGCCTCTTCTCACAATAGTTCACTTTTATTTATTGATAATTTACCTCAATCACAATGTAGTTCTGGAATTTTGTGAAAGACTGAAGGTTTGGAAATTTGCCAATGACAACAAGTAACTCTTTGAAGTTTTGTGTTCTTTTGAGTGATTTGCTTTTTTCTTTTCTTCTGTCATGCCACTTAAGCCATGAAGTAGGGAGTTTCAAGTTGTTTGTGGCATTTTATAATTGCTTAACAAAAACTCAAAATATTCCACCTCGTTACACCACCAGCTTTTAGAAGGTGGTGTAAAGTTTGTAAATACATTTATGTATATTATTTATGTTAATTAGCATTTCCTAAATAAACCAGCAACAACAGCTCCACTAACTAACTTGATGCCTATGGAGAGAAGCATTAGGAAAGGGATCAGGAGCCCATCAAATGCCTTCAGTCCAAGGACACCCATCACTGAGTGCTCAATGTTAAACTTTCTTTGCTGCCTCTGACCTTGTGCTTTCAAGGTCCAAGTCAGGAGTCTCATATGAACTCATCTTGTTTTTTATTGACTCTCTTGCAGGTTTGTGCCAGCTTGATCAAATGCTTGAACACTATCAAACCTTGGCACTGCTAGACGGACTGCATAAATTTATAACATTCTAGGACACGGTGATAGAGAAAAAAATCATTAATCACGGACTTGATCTCTGTTTTTGGCCTTTCCTCTGTTATTCTTTGCTTCGATTGCTGGGAGGCCATCAATATAGATCTTCTCCTTACATATGATTTCTTGAGCCAGGAACCGAGTTAAGCTCGAAAACGAAGGTACCTTAAGAAAAATTAAATTCACACGTCCTTTAAATTCAACACTCGATGAGGATCAAACACGGGGAGAAGTCCTCTATAGGATGCATTACTAGTGAATGCTCATCTGAATGCACTGGTCTAACATTGAAGTGCAAAGAAGATTTAAAATCCCGATAGGGGATAGCTGCAAAATTTCAGCAAAATGGTATGTCTCGAAGTGTAAGAAAAATACTTTCTTGATAAGCCCGGAAGAGAAAAGAGCTTCTAAGACTTGAACCGACGAAACCATTGCTCTGTCCAGTTGGTCTGGATTCGATAAATCCAACCTTAACGCCCAGGTAAACATGCTCGGCCCTGCTACCCAATTCCAAAAGGGAAATACGAAACTTCAGACAGATATGGAAAGGCCACAAGCGTTGGCGGACTGAAGCCAGCAGCCAGTGAAAGTCCTGGTGTGAAGTTTGTCCGTCCTCCACCGAGGACTCAAGAGAGGCAAAGCTATATTCTACGCTTTAAGTTCTGGAAAGAAATAAAGGAAGAAATTTGCCATTGACCGTTTGCGCTTGTTGGCTTTCACGCAGAGTTTCCTGCGCAATGCCCTTCACGACATGAATCCAATCACTCTCAGCAGCTAGAAAGTTACATGTTCGTTTCCACAGTCGCAGATATCTCTGCCCTAGCTACAAACCCGTCCATATGAGCGAAGTTCCACTTTGCCAGCTCAAATCTCTTCCGATGCGTTAGCCTGGCTTTGAAAGAAATCTCAATTGCAAGGAAGCTTCTCTAGCAAAAGCAAAAGCTCAAATCCTGGAAGCGCTGCCGAGGCCGTGGAAAACTTCGATCCTCGGTATACTTTCTGCGCCTGAACGCCTGCGGACAATTGCGGGCAGATCTTCACCGGAATAATTTGCGGCATTTTTGAAAGCACCGAAGTGGTGTTCATGCTGCACATAGGCACGAGCAAGCATGCAAATCCAAATGTTGCCAGTGACACCCAGCAGCTCTTGCATCCTGGCCCAGAGTTGCTGCCTCTCCTCGTCATACTCCACTCCACCAGCCGAGACGACTGCCTCTCTTATGGCATGACGTGTCTCATCCGAGCTCGCTCCCAAGTCCCTCTGCGTGCTTGGAGACTGGATCCACGCCGCAAACGCCTCACAGATTCCTCTGGTGGAGTTGCTAATCGCAACAAAAACCCCTTTCCCACCGCGCGACACGCGCTGCGCCCCCCACCTGGTATGCAGCAGTGACTCGCCTGTGACGATCCAAGCAAAAAGGATCACGATTGAGCAAAGAGAAAGGCACTCTGCATAGACTCACAGTCTCGTTTCCACCTCTCACGGTCAACGCTGCCGCCCAAGCAGTCCTCGAGGATCAGCTGCAGCAGCAAACTCGTAAGCGATGGATGGAATCATTGACATGATCAGGAAGAGCTTACGTAAGCTATGTAGAGGATCATGTCGGAAATCCCAGGTCTCCATGTGGCCTCGTTGCGGCTGTCATCGTCGAAACGGTGCCTTCGAAGCGTGTTTTCGGAGCTCGCAGTCCGGAAGAGTCCGTCCCAGGCTGCCTGCTTGATCGCCCCGAATTCTTCTAGAGAGCACGCGGTCAGGCATGGATCCCACTGCACGTTGGCGCAAATCTCCACGAAAAGGCTACCGTAGTCATTGCCAAAGACGGTGGCAGCCGCGTCGCAAAGCTGGCGGCACTCGTCGCTGCTTCCCCGGCTCATCGTAGCCTGGATGTGCTCCACAATCGACTCCGATGATGTCGCTGCCGAGCACAGGGATTTGAGCTCGGCGTGGTCGCGGCGTCCCTTCCTCGTCCGCATCCATGTAGAGATCAGGCGCGCTATCGGCACGCTCACGTCTGCGTACTCCTGGAAGAGCGGCTCCACGCGGTGGAAGTTGTAGTGGCCTTGGATCCACTGCTCGAGCCGGGCACGCATCTGGTTGTCGCATTGGATTTCTCCCGCTGCCATCACCTCCTGCCACACAGAAGCTTGAATGCTCTCTCGAATCAAAACGGTGTCAATCATCATACCTCCAACATCTGGCGCAGAGCGACGGTGATGTCCATGGACTTCCACTCTATCCTGGGCGCGTTCTCGATGCAGGAACGTATCCGTTTGAGCTCGTCCAAGGATGCCGGGGAGGACTTTTCATCCTTCAGCGCTGCTTGTTTGCTCAGGAACAGCAGCAAGAGATTTTCCAGCGGTCCAGCTCCGCCACCGCCACGGTCACCTGCTATAGCTTGTGCTTCGAATGCGTCGAGCCATTCCAGCGGCTGTTTGTTGCTCTGGAGCTGGAGCAACAGCCAGGTGAAGACGACGTCGCAAACCTCGCCGCTCGCATCGAACAGGAGAGCGGCATCAGCAACGCAAGTGGGCGAGAGAGTGCAAGGAAACAATATCGACACGATGGCTGTGGAAAAGGAACCAAGCTCTCAGCTTGAGAGGAATCCAAAGAAGAAGTACGTATAGCTAGCTACCTGACACATGTTCATCTGTGATGACCAATGGGAACGACGATGGCGTCCGATCAGTGGCCTCCTCGAGCTGCAAAAAAGGGAAAACCATAAACTTTGCTACACAATCCAAACAAGCACTCACAAGGTGGAGGTCGGTCAGGGCGTACGTGCAGCGGCCTTTGCAGCACTCGGGGCGGGGATGAGGATTTCTAGATTGCTCTTGATGTGGGCTATGGCGCGTGAAGTAGTCGGCAGGTGCAAGAAGGCATCCGGCACGGTAGCGCCAAGGACGCGTGCGACGGCCACGGTCCAGATCTTCCACTTGAGCTCCGAGACAGTGGAAGTGACGGTGGAGTTGGGCAGGACTTCAAAGAACCACGCACCCGGGGGATGATCCAGCTCCAGCCCAAAGTGAGAGAACGTTGCCCTCACAACCATCAGCAGTCTGGAGCCTATGCCGCTGCGGAACCATTCGGCCACGCGATCGCCAACGCATGGCATCCACCCCACCACTGGAATCAGTTCTTCCATAGCCCTGGCTTCTGTAGAGTTTTTCCTTTATTTACCATCTTCGTCTTCCTCGCATAAACGCACAGTCTCAAAGCAAGGAGAACTTACGTAAATGGCTCTAGCACAGGCGCTTCACTTCGACCGAGATCTCACAGTATAAAACACAAGAGCTTGTCAGGATTTCTATAACCCTCTCTCACCATTTCTCTTACGATCCCCGCGGCTCAGCTCTCCCATATCCAACCGCGCTCGGATCTCTGAGCTCCAAGCATTCTACAATAAACTCGTAACAAGAACAGAAAAATAGATCTTTTCAGTACCTGGTTCGCAATGACCGCCACTTCTCAACACGAAGAAGCTACACCAAACACACTTGAGCACAAGAAGGCTACAAATCTCGTTCTACCGCTTGCTGCTTCTCCTGGAATCGGGTGTGTTAACCGCCAGTTTCGATGGCGATGATTATGAATTTTCATACAACAAAGAAACAAAACTTGAATAGAAAGTACCAGCATCCATCAGAAGATACTGAAACCTGCGGAGCGGAAGGTGATACGTAAGCAAAAGAAGACAGAAAGAAGACTCACGGGGCATGGTTCTCCAAGTGTAACATCCCAAAGAGCCACGCTGCCATTTCTCCACTCGCTGCTAAACCAGAGAGCATAATTTCCTCCTTGGTCTCCAGCACCCACAAAGCTACACACACGAAAAGAGAAGAGTTGGGGGTTCACTCGCTACACACCAAGTGGGAACAAAACCTCTTACCCAGCGCGCTGGCATGCGTTTTCTGCCGCAGGCATTGGCTTTCCACGACTCAAACAGTGTAACGCCTTCGTAGGCCGGGAGCCTGGGGTGGGGGTGGCTACTGCAAGCGGGGAGCTAACGCAGCGGTCACGGGTCTCCATTGGCATTAACCATGTGTCCCAAACGACTGCTTTGTTTGCCGTGGGAGATATCTTCCACAGGAACTGTAAGAAACGGAAGCAACCTGGGAAACAAGCCACATGACCTTGGTTTTGGCTGCAATGGAGGAAGAAATACCTCTCAACGGGGGCCAAGAGGCACCATAGCTCCGGATATCAAATAAGCCGACTGTTCCATCGCCTGGGCCTGTTGAAAGGAATGCATCAGCAAAGGCTAGAGATATATCTGAGTTAACTACCTGTCACAACAACTGTTCCTGCTGCATCAGTTATAAACTGTCCAAAAAAAAAAAGAAAACACGAATCAGAAACTCTCAAGAGTGGAAAACAATGTTGACTACCATGTCATTTGCTGGAAATCTGCAGCACTCAAGGAGAGCATCCACGTCCCAGATCTGAACAATACCCGAGCCATTTTGTGACGAGTAACTTCCGCATATCAGTAGGTTATTGTTAAACTCCAGAGCATCCATGGGAGGCAAATCTTCCTTGGAAAAAAAAACAAAAACCATTACACTTTCAGCATTTTCTACTCGAATAAAAGTATAGTTAGCTCACGTACCTGTTCCGTGAGATTAATTCTGGTACAAGCGTTTCTCTACAAAAGCAGTTGTCGATCGCCTTGACCACTACTTGTTGCCACAAGGCCTGCAAACAACCAAAACCAGCCCAGAAAAGCAAGATCCAAGTGCGTCACGAACAGCAAACCTTACAGGTTTGAGACGGATTAGCGGCCATTGCAGAGGTTTTCTTTCTTATGACCAGCCACGTTGTTTTCGTCAGAACCAGGCCCCAGAGTGTAGAGGCACTCAGCAGTTGATGAATTTCATACCTGAATTTGAAAAAAAAAAAAAAGTCAATATATACAAGACAAAACGTAGTAAGATACGACCTTCACAGTGCTTTCAGCACATGAAACAACTAGAGACCCCTCCTGAAATGGATGCACCAAAACAAAAGAAAGAAAGACAAGAAAGGATCACATCCATCGCTAAAGAAGAAAGCGTCAGATTCCAAGAAAACCCCCACATAAGGAGCTCGTTAGGTGCCTGCATTTCACATTAGCGAGGACCACAGCCTTGATAGAAAACAGCTTACAGCGTTGCAACCGACAATCTGTGAACGCCGAGCTTGAGCGTGCTGGATCCTTTGCAACTTTGCATACTCATCTGTTACACTAAACAGGTCAAAAAGGAGAAAAGAAATCGGGCATTAGTCATCCTAAGTACCTGTCGAGGCATGGGTGTCCCGTTCGTCACCGAATCTGAGGAAGCACTTGCTCTCCGGGACTTGCTTTCACCTCTTTGTAAGCTTGAGACTTGACGTTAGTCCCCCGAGATCCCGCAGCTTCACTTGTAGCTGACAAAGCCTGCAAGTTTACACAAAAGCTGTCAATACCAAGCCCATAAACAGTGTCACATACAGCTCGTATCTCCTTTTCATGACTTCTTATTGTCCAGAGATGATTGTCTTCGTCGTCAACGCCAGGATTCCTGAAAGTACAAGGCTATCAACCATTCAACTCAGAAACACGCAAGGAGGAGAGAGAGAGAGAGAGAGAGAGAGAGCACACTCTTCCGAGCACACTCTTCTGGTGTTTCTTCTGAGTAAGAAAGGTTGGCATCTGTTCTACGTTTTCCAGAGTTTTCACTTCTTTCTTCTCGCTGTGATGCAAACCCAGCCTTGATGAAGCAAAAGAAGAATAAAAATTGGAAATAAAAACTACTCACAGCGAGCTCCTGGCGTTGCTTCTCCTTCTCCTTCTTCTTCATCACAATATAGTAGAACTTCTGGATGTACTCGGCTGGCAAGACTCAAAACTCCACGCGAGGATTCTGGTTTAACCACTCGGCGATCTCCCACGGGAGTGTCCTCGTCGAGTGGAGCCCAGACGGGCTTCCACTTATCGTTTCTGCTTGAAACGAGGCTATCGCCCTGTGACTGCAAGCAATGGAGTAAGCAAGCTCCTTCAAGCCTATCTTGGTAGGAAGAACAAACTCACCTCATCGCCGGGGATTGGCATACACGACCACGCGAGGAGCGCTCAAGATCCTCCTGCCTCACGAACCTGCCGAATGGGCGCTCACATGCCGGTTCGTGAGCGGCGCTCCAATCCACCTGCATTGGTGCTTCATCGCCGACGGCTGGTGCTGTCGCTGGATCCTCCGCGGCGGCCGGAGCTTCTTCTTCTTATCGCTGGAGCTTCTTCTTCCGCCATAGCCTCAAAACCCTAAGCATATTCTCTTGTCACCGGGGACACCATCTGGAAGTGGCGAGCTCCGACGATTCGAAATCTGAGCAAGAACATCGAGAATGCACGCGCGCTGATGGCAGCTCCTCCGGCATTTCTTCACGGATCCATGAGAATATAACCTTTTTTTCTCCTTTAATACGGCTAGACAAACTAGGGTTCTTGGCTTTGTGTGGGACAAAATGAGAAGGAAAACTGTTGAGTATGTGTTCGATCCCAGGGCAAACTCCCTTGTTCCTGCTCTTCCACCAGCTGGCGCTCCTCCTCCAATGCCGCTTCCAGTGGCACCACTAGCTGGCGCTCCTCTTCCAATGCCGCTCCTCCTCCAATGCCACTTCCAGTGGCGCCACCAGCTCCGCCTCCTCCAGCTGTCCAAGTGTTGCGTGCGGCGGGTGAGCAAGCGCGAGGTGATCCCATGGCGATGGCTGGGCGCGATGCGGCAAGTGATCGGGACGGCTTTCCATGAGACTGGCAGTGCCAGGGCAACGGGTGGGCGCGATGTGGCGAACGAATCGAGAGGAAGCGGCCAGCTTTTCGCGAGGCGGCGGTGCCACGGCGATGGGTGGGACGAATCGGGAGGAAGCGGCCAACTCTTCACGAGGCGGCGGTGCCATGGCGATGGGCGGGCGGGATGAACAGCCATCGTCAAAGCGAAGACTTGGCCGTTTCCTC